TGATCCAGCAACGTCCGGTCCTTGGTGGGCGTGGTATACTTGAAGAGATTCTTGGTGACCAACGGCGAGAGCACCCTACGCTCCTCGCACTGCCCCTTCACGTCCTCTATGCTAGCTCCGAGCAGCTCGTTCTTCAGCAGGCAGGAATAGGCGATGCCGTCGCGGCTGCCCTCGCCGTTCTCTCGCGTCTTCTTCGCCACCAGGCCGCCCCGGCCATTTTCGCTGATCATGGAGAAGGTGGTCTGCCAGTTGTTGCCCGAACGAGTGGGTATAAAGCGATCGTAGCTGTTGTTGCACGCCGACGTCTTCGTGGGGGAGAAGTAGATGGGCGAGTAGGTGGCGACGGCGCCGGGCAACGTCGCCGTGCCCGTCGCCGTCGAGGCATCGCCGCTCACCGGCTTCAGCAGCCGTTTCTCGTACTCGTGATGGAACATGACGCGGACGCGATGGATACGTCCCACCTCACCTCTCGACGGCAGTTCCCCGCTCACATAATTAACGTATCGCGAACGCCTCTCTCGCATGCACCGTTGTGAGAGGCCGTGCCCGCCGTGTGGTCGTGGAGCCGAGCCGAGCCGCTGCGCCGACAACTCCGCGATCGATCTCGGGCCTCGGGACTCGGGACACGTCACGAGCTCATCCCCGGCCCCGCTGTTCAGCCACTCCGCCTCCGCGCGTTCCGTTCAGCTTTCCAAGACGGTCTGAGGTGCGAGAGCGAGCTGTTAACCACCGTCCCAGTCCGTCGTGCTAGCACTGGTTAGGCAGCCCGTGCCGTCGCCATTCGACGTCAGGTTCAACTCGCAGGATCGAGAATCGAGAATGCCGCACGAGGTCGAGCGATCGCTCCGTATCCGCCAATAGAAACGTGTCTCACGGAGCGATAAGCTGCACTCGGACCGGGGTGGGGAGGTCGATCTTATCGACCGTTTTATCCCTTATTATTGATTACTTCACGGTCTTTACACAATAACCTGCGATGATTTGGAATTAATAATATTGCACAATATATATATTAATAATAAGAGATTAGCCATTTCGTTGCAATTTGCGCGTATATTTCACCTTTATTTTTGTCGACATTTTGAAAGATTCGTAATAGAATCTTGATAACTAAAATTCTCGTCGTTTCAACCCTGATCTGAATATTATCCGAATTATTTAGCACAATAATAATAATAAATAATAATTTATAATCGAAGATTACTGTCGCGAATGCAAATGTTCATGATTTCTCCTGTGAAAGATAATCTAAATTCTTTAATACAAAAATAAAATAATATTATAAATCATATCAAGGCAGAATAAAAATGTTACTTAATAGAATTTTGTAATAAAATTTTGATGGTAAAAATCCTCGTTACAATCCCGCTTTGGAATTATTTAGCACAATAATATTATACTGAACACAATAATAAATAATAAATTATAATCGAAGATTCTGTCGTGAATGCAACTGTTCATGATTTTCTCCCATGAAAGATAATCTAAATTCTTTTATCCGAAAATAAAATAATATTAAATCGTATCAAAGGCAGAATAAAAATGTTAATTAATATATAAATCACATTTATCTAATTGCCGAATAAAGGAAACGTCGTTTTCAAAGTAAACTTTTGAGTCACCGATTTTCTCGAACTTTTAAAATCTCGCTTATCTCGTTCATGTTTTTTCCTTCCATTCTACTCAAAACACACATTCGTTCCATTTAAAAGGCAACAAATGTCGATGGTCAAAAGATAAAAATTATTATCGGGAATAACGGATTTCTCATCGATAAAGACGAAGGAATTTAAAAACTTTCTGGACGGTTAGAGAAACCGGAGTATTATTTATTCCACGTTATTTCTCCACCGTCTCCACTTCGAATGTCGCGAATGTGCCAATTGCAGCCGCGCATGCATGATATTGGTATATTTTGGTATACCAGTTAGCCCCAGAGTGAGCCGGAAAAGGAGGAAGCTCCGCTAAAATCGATCGCGGAATGGCATTTTTAAACGCAAAAGGTGGCATGTGGTGAGGCCCGTTCACCGGCTGTGCGGTAGAAGGAGCACTGTCCACCGAATTGGCGGCGCCAATGCGATCGCGATGCCTCGCCGTTTCTCCCGACGGCTCGACACCGCTCGTTTCGGTCGTTTCGGATGAGTCATCCGACGAACGGAACGGCGAGCGGAGAACGAGGGGGAGCTTGTTCGACAACACGCTGTCGAGATTGTCGAGAATCGTCAGGGCGCGACGCGGCACGAAGGGCTTTGTTTACCGCAAGATACGGCCGACGATGGCGTCAGACAGAGACGACATTGGGGATCTGAGCGACGTTATTCTGCAAGAGAATTCAGATGCCGAGACGCAGGTAACGTGCTCCGGTTGTCGCAGGACATGCGGACGGGAGATATGCGATATGCGTTTCGTGCCGCTTAACCTTTCACTTATCCAGGCAGATAAATAGATTATTTGTACAGATCCCCGCTGTAAACTCCCAAAAGTTTTTCATAGAAAACTAGATTTTTTTAAGGGAAATATGTCGAATTATCAGTAGGCAGATATTTGCTAATCACATTCCGTTGCTGTACAAATTACTGGTTATCTTATATTTTTTTGTGCAGTAGACCTTCAGATTTATTGTGTAGTTAAAATATAATTAAGATTTGATAAGATAAGAGAGTTTTGGAGTACAAGATTCTTAAGACAAACAATAGGCTTCTTGACTTGTTTTTTTTCTTTAATCTTCTCTTTCTATCTAGTTAGTTTTTACGTTATTAACTATCTATTAAAGTTCTGCCATTTATTGTCTATTCAAGTTTTTCGTAAGTAGATCCTACAATTGGATCTTTTTCTATAAAAACTTTATAAACATATTTTAACAAATTTAATACAGCTTGACTTTAATTAATGTTGCGCAGTGTAAACGCAAATTGAGCAAGAAACCAAAGAGAGTGCTGCAATTTTCGGATGGAGTAATGGAGGAATATTCGTCGGAGGATGAAGTTGACGCACCAAAGAATAATAAAACTGTGTCGCAGATAGATACGGTAATTATGCAAATCTTGTAACTTGTTATATGTTCAATAAGAATAGAAAATAATAATACATATTTTATAGAAAAATATGACTTGGTTACCATGGGCGTGGCATCAAACTACATGGTTCAGTTCTAAAATGTTGGATGGTTGCGATTACGTTGGCGAATGCCTGGCCAACTTCTTCGGTATAACAGCGCCCAAGTATCAGTTCGAGATCAATGAGTTTTATAGGCTACAAGCGCTCGAAAGAGAACTATTTCATAAGCAAGATTTGGAAATGGGTGGCTGGAATGAGCGAAAGAGGAACAATCTCATAAGTAGCGATGATATGTTGACAAATGAACGTAAGTAAGAATATTAGAAGGAATTTGATATTGAGGAAACATGTTACATGTTACAAATTCTCTATTTTAGAATGCGTTTAAAACATTGCCTACACATAGCTTTGACAGGGATTTATTGCTCAATTCTAAATTCACTAGAAATTTGCAAATGGAAATAATGAATGCTTGAATGATTTCAACCAATATTTTTCTATGCGACATTGAAGTTTTTTAAATAATATAAAATAACAAATATAATTATTACAAAAGAAAGTATATGATGTAGGACAAAAATTGAACAAACTTATTGCGATATATATGGCGTTTTAAAAATGAAAGCATTTAAATGAAAATCTTGCAAAACTGCCACCTTCAAGTCAGTTTAAACTAAGTAAGTTGATATATATGTTACAGAGATTTCGTGTAATTCGTTCTTTTTTTGTAAAATTTCTAGAGAATCCACAAAAAACCAGGATATTGTGGAATGAATAAAAATTACACAATTTTACTAGTGATTTTGCAAAATCCTAGGTTCTATCAGTAAGCTAAAATTTTTATTAATTTATATTTGAAAATATAAATTATATGTTTATAAACATAAAAGATATATATAAATTTATATTTATTTTTAAAAGTTATATTTATATTAATAATTTTTATTTATTCCACAATATCCCAGGTTTTTATAGATTCCCTAGGGATTTTGCAAAAAAACGAAATACACAAAATCTCTGCGACATGTATAAGAACTGTAAATATTAAAAGTTTTAGTAATAGTGTTATTCTTCATATCATTAATCGTTGTAATAGATCGAGATATAATTTATTGTGTAAACTATTATATATAAGGTACTTATAACTATATTAAGTATTATATCTGTTAATATTATTAAAAAATATGTTATTTTATTGCGAAAGAAAATTTGTTGAATCCTGCATTTGCACATACGTCCATATGATAATAAATAATATATTCAAATATCACTTGCTGTTAATTATATCAGCCGTGACTCATAGAATTATTATGCAATCAATAAGGTCAATAAATGTAATTAATAAATGTCTCTGTATTTAATAAAACAAATATCCTTTTTATAATCAAAATTTCTTAGCATAAAATTATATTCCCTCGATAAAGTATTTTTCAAAAGCATTTTTTGTAAATTTACGGATATCAAGAAATAGTACAGCATAGCAAACGTACAATAGTAGTATGATAACTTGTAAGGATAAAAATACATATTGCTCTCGATAGTTTTTCTTCAAAAACATCTTGAAATCCTTCATTTATTACGTGTTTCATTTGCCGCGTATATATTTGCAATCTTTTGTTGATTAAAATCCCAAACACAAAAGTTACAGATACCCTGTAAAAGTCTTTTAGACATTTGCGTTTTCTAGATTGCTCAATGCGAACTAAAAGTTCTTGTATTCTAAACAAAATTATGTCTCCGGCACAAACCTATGCAGCGCGCTAGTCAAAACTAGCAGGGAATCTTGGAGACCCTGTGGAAAATGTCTTTGCAGCCAGGAACCTTTATACTGCTCTATATGAGCCAACATCTTGTTCGCTATATCGGTCCTGAAAGTGGGTGGCAGATTACATACTCCTAGATTGATGACCGCGAGTCCCATGTTGCTATTCGGATTCACACCGACTCCGATCAATGTTCTGCCGATTTTACAGGCCGTCAGCATCAGATCGGATGTTAATTGCAATTCCTGTATCTCCATAGATGCAAATTTGGAGGACAAGCTCGCCTCGTACAACGAATGGGATATTCGTTTGATCTGCTTCGTCATTTTCTACGAACGTATAATAGCAAATTAATTCGCAATATTCGAGTCTTATCTTGTTATTCATTCTTAAAATATTAAGATACACTTCGGATATTCAAACAAGCGAACACGCAAGTGTACTTACAGCGAACAGATCGGCCGAAAGATACTCCAGATTCACATTATCTGGATCGGTCAGTAATCTATATAACGTAGAACCGCGATTATCTGGTATTTGTTGCAAGTCTTTGACTGCTTGATTTTTACTCAATGTTAATACCAACGTGTCTAAACGTCCCAACTCCAATATCGCATTGCCGATTTTATACTCCGAATCTTGAAATACGTGTATGTCCAATAACTTCGTAATATATCTTTCTCTGCAAAACAAAACGATTTTATTAAACATGAACATATGACATTTAATAATCGTGGATTGCAAATTTTGCGACAGGTACCTAACTGATGCAGATAACTCAGGGATGTCGTAATTGTCATCAGGTCCTAAATCTATTTCCGTTGTTGGATTCCAAGATAAACCAGCCGCTACTAGATAACCGATCCACGCGAAAGGATGCGGTGTAAGATGATGACTGCCCGACCAGTGTGCAACAACGATACCGATCGAGTTCTGTTCCAGAGAGGTTTTTATCGCGTTTCTTGTGTTGGCATA